GCTGGGCAGGACCCCCCAGTGCCCAGGCAGTGCTGGGAGAGCCGGAGCAGCTCCTGTCGCCCTAAGAAACGTCCTAAAGCACCCAGTCACACCAAGGCCCTAGGAGGCCAGCACGCGAGTCTCATGAGCCACTGTCCTAACAACAGATGACAACAGCCAGGTGAGGAGACACGGCCGCGCTGTACGCTGGAACGGGGTGCACTCGGGCATGCCTCCAGGGACTCCCAGTGCCCCAACAAGACACACTGCCCACATGGGGTGGAGCATGCCAGAACGCTTGGTCTGGGTACCCTGCAGAGGCATGCCACTCCCAAGCACCCACGGGCGCATAGCCTGCAGTTCTCGGCTATGTAATTCCTGGACGATTAATCCTTGGCAAAGACACCAATCCGTGGCACAGAGACGTGCGGTGCTGGACTTGAACTTGAAGAGCCAGAGAACTTGTGCCCACCCCCCCACACACCCCGCACCCAACATGCCTCCAATTTGAGCTCATTTAGGAATGTCCCCACAGACACGATAACGCCTCATTATACGCGCGCTGAAGCAAATGGCAGAGCAAGGATAGATTTACGACCCAGAGCTTTCCGGAAATGACCCAGGGAGCCGTGCGGCTGCTGAATCTCGTCCCTCCTGCCCAGCAGCGAGGACCCGGGTGAGGAGGTAGTGACATGTGTTGCTCAAGGATGCCTGGGGGCTCCCCTGTACCTCCCCCAAATCTGAGCCTAGAGCTGGGGTGTCTGCTTTCAGAACAGAGCCTGAGCTGACCAGGTCACCTGAGCCACCCGCAGGGAGCCTGGCATCTCCCGCGTGGCCCCTCACTCCGCAAGGGGCATCCTGGGGACCGGACGGGCACGCAGTGGCCGCCCGACACTGGCAGCAGCAGCGTCAGCGCCTTCCTTCCCCAGGGAGGCCGGGAAAGGTCCCCTGATCCCGTCCTCTCTCCGCCCTCAGTCTCACCCCTGTTCGGCCCAGGGTCTCCCCGCCGCCCCCCCACCTGGGGTGTGACCAAGGAGCTCAGGAAACAAACAGGTGTTTGCCCAAAGCTTTCCGCCCAGGCCCTGTGGGTCCTACAGCTGAGCCTGCTGCCTGTGGCTGTGTCAGGGTGGAAGGTGGTTCAGAAAGTGGGGCTGCAAGCTTCCTCGCAGAGCACTGCCGGTCAGCCCCTTCCTTCCAGGCATCAGGGAGCGGGGAGAGCAGGGATTTGCCCATTTGGGATCTGAGAAGCAAAACCAAGATTCTTCATGGGCTCCCAGGACACGTGGGCCACCAGCGGAAGAAGGGTGATGACCCCCCCAGCGCCATGTCTGTAGTTTGACAAACCCGGGCTCCCCCAGACTCAGTTTCCGACCAGTCGCTGCATCGGAGGCCAGCTCTGGGCTGCCCTTCACTGGACGGCCAGCACGCCTCAGCCACCCCGGCGTGCAGCTCCTGCCCGTCTTCACTCCCAAACAAGCCCAGGACGGGGCTCGGGCCAAGAGAAAAGGCCTCCTGTCGGATGGCACACAGTGGGCGCCAGGAGCGGGCTCTGCCTCCTGCTTGCTGCGGCTGTGGCCTGATCCTCCACGGCCGTGTAGACGGTTTGTGTAAATCGTGGGCTTGGCAGATGCGTGGGTCTGACGAACGCCATCGCAGACTGCGTGTCTCTAAAGCAAATGCAGGGTTCCCTGAGGGAGGGGGCAGTTCTCAAAATGCCCGTGGAAAGTGCGTGCTTCAGCACGGTGGGAGAAGCGCAGCCGGGAAGTAAACCCTGTCACTGCAGTCCGTGCTGCGGCTCCAGGGGCACTTCCTGTGGCGGACCGAGCCCAGAGGTGACCCAGTGCAGGGTGCTCACGGAAACGAGGGCCTCTGGACTCACCTGTCACGTCCGCAGGGAGTTCTGAGAGCAGTCCTGGGCATCAGAGCCCGGCGGTGCCGAGCCAGCTCCAGCCCCTGCTCACGGCTCCCAGGTCTCACGCACACACGTGTGCTACATTGTACTCGTGTGTGCAGGCGTGTGTAAGGCTGTGTGTCCACATGTGTGGACTCGGGAAGCACACACACGCAGCCCCTTCTGCTTCCTGACTGCGGCTGGGCCGGGTCAGGACGCATGCCCTCTTTGCATTTTACTGCGCCCAGGGTGAACCCTTTGCTGGAGGGCAGCTTGCAGGCTGGGCTTGCTGTCCTCACTCATGCCTCCCCAGGAAAAGGCGCACACATAAACAGGTAGGCGCACTGGCAGCCTTGAAGGCAGCAGGGGGAGGTGAGCGGTAGAAATGCTGAGCTTAAGAACCGTCAAAGCGCAGCCTGACGCCGGCCGGGGACAGCAGTTGCTTTTTGTCGAAGCCCGGGGTTCAGACTGCAGCTCCAGGCTACAGCCTCTGCCCGTCAAGGGTGGAGCTGGCGTCGGAGGCTTGGGCCGCAGCAGGCGGCAACGCAAGAACCACCAAGACCCAGGCTCGTGGCCTGTCCGAGGAGCCAGTCTTCAGAAAGTTCCACAGAGCAGCTCCGGGAGTCCAGGCGCAGCCGCACCAGCCGGGCTGGCCAGCAGGAGGCTGGGGGAGCTGCCCCTGGTGTTGAGGAGAACGGCGGCCACGTGGCGGGGGCCAACACCCCACATCGTGTCTCGTTCATGAACATTTTACAACAGAACGCTCCTGCCATCTCACCCACCTGGCCTTCCCATCCGCCACAACCTCTGGACGCAGCCTTTCTCTTCTCCACGGGGAACCAGTTTTCTCTGGAGACCAGCTAGTGCCCGACCAGGGTCAGGCAGCATTCACAGGGAAAGAGCGCTGGGCACGAACAAAGATTCACCCACACACACACACGGACACACACGTGCACATGTGGACGGACCGTGAGGCCTCAGGTTCTCCAAAGGCGCTACGGCTCTCAGAAGAGACGGCCATTCAGAGCCACGGGGCCGAGGACGGCCGGCGGCTCACTGGCTGCAACCCGGCCCAGGCCCGGCCACCCCTCTGCCCTGCTTGGGCAGCTCTGGCACTTAGCATGCCATCCGGTTTCTGACCCGAGGGATCCAGCCGACTGTCCCCGACGCCCCATTTCTCAGCCGTGCATGTTTCAATGCCAGGCCAAAGAGGATAGTCGGAGCCAGCAGGGCAGGGGCACCATCTGTGGGTGACGCACAGCTGTTGCCACCCCCACACTTCACACTGGGCACTGAGATGTCCAGGGCCTCTGACCCCGGGTGCGCGCCAGGGCTGCTTCAGCGGGGGGCTCCTAGGACACACGGATGTCCCTCCCTTCATGGCACTTCCAGGCAGCCCAGCCAGGCACGGCTGCACGCTCGCTCAGACTGTCGGGCAACAAACCCAAGGGACACAAAGATGTCCCCTTCTCACGCCAGTAAAACTCGCCCTGCCCTCAGCACGGGTGGATCCCAAGCCCCTGCTCCCTTCCTTCCTGCGCGTCTTTCATGGCGACTTTCCTGAGCTAACCGACTCTCCCCAAGTGTATCAGGATAAAGGCGTGAACGCAGCCCCCACCAGGCTGGCCTGCCTGTCTGCCCGTGGTGCTCCGTGGTTCAGGACTGGCTCCCACGTGCGTCCCAAGCCCCCCTCACCTCTCGCCACAGTGCACAGCGATGGCTCATGCCAGGCCTGCGGGCACCTGGAGCACCCCAGTTTTCAAACAAACTTAGCTTTTCCTTCTGAATTCCTGCGCCCTGGTGTGTGCCCAGTCCTGTCCTGGAGGGCAGCCTGAGCACTCACCCTGCTGACACCGTGTGCATGGAGAGGACACCCGCCCTTAGACGGCCACGCACCGAGCCGGACAAAGCGTGGAACCAAGTCAGGTGGCGGGGACAGCCTCGCCAGAATCCGTCTACTACCACCGCACACGCCGCGGCACTCACACCTCGGCCAACCCAAACTTTCTAGAGAAATATGTGGCTAGGATGCTTTCCAGCTGGTTTTTGAAAGACAAGAGAAGATTCCCACAAGTTACTGTCCGTTGAAAATTGGCATTAAAAAAAAAAAGCTAGAAAGGGGAAAGAGGCATGTTTTTAAGGAATTACTTCCTCAAAAGGATTTTCAAGTGTCGCAAAAATAAAAGCTAAAACAGTGCAATAAAGCCACCTGTGCTGACTCAGCCGTCCCCTGCTGCAGTCACAGACTTTAGATTCTGACCCAGTGGACAGGCTGGAGTGGCCGTCAAGTCAGAGCGCTCCCTTGCACACACTTCAGGGCGGCCTTGAAGCAGGGTGCAATGGCTACCGAGGTGTCTCCGGGGAAACCGGGCTCTGTGTCCCGCGGGTAGCTCAATGCAGCTCCCAGAGCACTGGGGGCGAGCGCACGGCCTCCCTTCCCCCTCCCCTCACGTCCCCCTCGCGCACCGCATCTCTCCCCCAGGCCGCAGAGCTGAAGATGGGACACGCGGGCGGGGACCAGGACCTGAGAAGTCAGCCCCTGGGTCCTTCCACACGTGACCGCCCACAACCGCTTTCTCAGACGCAGGTGCTCCCAGCAGCACCTGGCAGTTCCCCGCAGGAGATGGTCCTTCCGCAGATCCCCTCCCCAACAAGAAAACACTGTGCGTACTTAGGCGCCCATCGGGCTGGCCAGGGTGCAGACTGCCAGCACCCACAGCTCCGTTGGGTTTCCCCGCACACGTGTCCGCACTGGGGACCGCTGTCTACACAACCCGGCTGGAACGGCTTGCCCTGCTGCCTCCACTCCGAGGGACGCAAAGAGCCGGAGAACCCCATCCTGGGCCCCTGGGATTCACCTCCCCGCCACGCCACGGCCACCGCAAAGTGGAGCAGGGGGGCCGTTGGTCAGCTGCGCGCTCCCACCCCGCCTAGGGAGCCACCGGCTCCCAAATGGTGTCCTCGCACGAGGTTTGTACAAGGTCTCTGGGGTGTCTCTGGGACGCGGGAGCCTTTCGACAGCACCCCTGTCTGTGGCCGGGAGGAGAAGTGCAGCCCACACATGCCATGGAGGCCCCTGCCTCCCGCGCCTGCTCGGAGGAGAGGGAGGCCGTCGCGCGCGCACACCTACCCTGGCGCGCCGGTCCGGAGGCGGGTGCAGCGCGGGGCTAGTGGGAGGCTGACATGGACCACGCGCCCTCCATGCGCCACACGGAGAAGGCGTAGCTGAGGCGCTCGTGGGCCACGTAGCTGCAGCTGGTCATCTTATTGTCCATCTCGTCGCTCTGCAGGACCTGGTAGAGGAAGTCGATGTACCGCGCGGCCAGCTTGAGCGTCTGGATCTTGCTCAGCTTGTCCGAGGGCAGCGTGGGGATGATCTTGCGCAGCGCGGCGAAGGCCTCGTTGAGCGACTGCGTGCGCTGGCGCTCACGCACGTTGGCCAGGATGCGCTGGCTCTGCAGCTCCTCGAAGGACTGCGCGCTCGGGCTGCCCTTCTTGCCGCGCTTGCCCGGGGTCGGGCTGCCCTCCTCGCTGGACTTCTTGCTGTAGCGCCGCTTCCGGCCGAAGCGTTTGGGCTGCCGTTCGAGCTCCTCCTCGCTGGTGCCCAGGCTGTCCACGGGGGACACGGGCGAGCTGGAGCCCTCCTCCATGGCGCCCGCGCGGCGCGCGTGGGGCTGGGGGCTGGGGGCGCCGTGAGCGCGCCGCTGGCCAAGCCCGCGGGCGCCGAGCACGCGCTTGCGGGGCTGCCTGCAAAGGGCTCCGGTTTCAAGGCCGGCTCGTGCAAAAACCGAGGTCTCCCGGAGAGGAAGTTATTTTAACTTTTTTGGAAACTCTAGCCGGGCTGGGTTGCTAAATAGTTGTCAGGAGCGAGGGCGGTGCGCTGATTGGCCGCCGTGGCCTGGAAGGGGGGGGCAGGACCAGTTCTGGGGCCTCCGCCGGCCACCCCCTACGCCCCCTCCCTCCCCCGCCCAGGCGCGCCACTTTCAGTTTTGCCTCCCCGCTCCGGCCCGGCATCGCCGACACCGGTCCTCGCGCGACGCCGCGCCCTCGCCCCGGGCCCCCACCGCGGCCGCTCAGCGCTCTCGGCCCAGCCTGGACTGGCTTTGTCTCCGCCTCATCAGGGAGAGCGGGCCGCTGGGTGTCTCGCGCGATGCGGGAGCCGAGTCGGAACCCAGATGCGCTCCGGGGAGGTGAGGGTGAACCCGGGAGCCTCTAGGGGCACGCAGTCCCGCGTGCGCCACGGCTGGCTCCGGGCGCGCACGAGTCGGCGGGCGGCTGGGGATCCGGGCTGCGGATCCGGGGGTGCGTGCGGCCCCTCGATGCCGTCTGCAGACGCCCATCCCCTCGCGCGCACCGCCGGCCCCGCGGATTGTGTGCTGCGGGGTCTGGCCGCCCTGCATACTGAGGCGTCTCTTCTCACGCGCTCTGGTTGGGGAGTCGGCACTCTCCCCCGGCTCCCGTCCCCTCCTACTTTCCCGTTAAGTGCTGTGGGAGCCAGGCAGCGCAGCTAGCCTGCACCGGGCGCCCGCGGCCGCCGCCCAAGAGGCTCTGCCCTGGGTGCCGGGCGCGGCTGGGGCGCCTGCCCTGGTCAGCAGGCCGGCCCAGGTCCTCTGTCCTTCGCTTCCCTCTCCAAAGTCCTACCCAGACAGAGAACGCCTTAGGGCTTTGCGGGCGAACCCCCGGAACTCGGCCTGCCCCTACTGGAGCAGCAGGGCTCAGGGTGGCAGGCAAGTGGGGCCTGGCAGAGGTGGGCAACACCGAGGACCCCGGCCCCACACATCTGGATGCTGAACGCGAGCGCATTTGAAGTGGTTCGTGGCTCTTTGTTTGCCAGGCTGCTCTGGCTCTGGGCCTGGACGTGCTTTACAGCTTTGATGCCTTTGAACCTATTCCCAGGTGACCCGGGCTCAATTAGGTCCAGCCAGAGGGGCTGTCAGGAGAGCCCTGTGATCAAGGGCGAGCCAGGCCTTTCTATTGAAGCTGAACCAGGGGCTGCTCCGCTGACCGGCCTGGTGCCCTCTCGCTGCCTTCCCCGGGCCTGGCTCAGGGGTCGGTCTGGTCTCCCCAGCTCCGGGTCCCCACAGTGGCGACGCCACTATGCATAGCACAAAGGGCCTTGCAGACTGGCACACCAGGATAGAGTGTGGAACAAAATCTGACGAAGGAACGTGGGCGGCCAGGTGTCCTTCCTGTGCGCTGTGTGGGGCTCCAGGGCTACCTGCGTGCTCACCCACCCATTGGTCCCTCCTAGGACCCAGCGCCCCAGGCCTTCTGCCATGACCGAATGGACAGCCCCAGGCCAAACCCAGAGAGCCCCACGGCCTGGGAGATTTCCCCCCTCCTCCCCCTCTGTCTCCACCAGGACGGCTCGATGCAGAAGGGGGGCGCCCCAGCACTGGCTGCAGGAGGGGCTCCGGAGTGTGACCACCTGAACCACTTCTCCTGCCTTCTTGCATTAAAGATGCTGAACCATAAATTACAATCAATCCCTGCGGCAGCCAGCGTCCAAGGGCCTGGAGGTTTTCTCGGCCTTGACCTGCAGAGCCACGGGGCAGTGACCCCCATCAGGAAGAGGTGACTTCAGTGTTTAAGTCACCGTAGGTTGCAGGGGGACAGATGGCAACCAGGATTTCTCTCGCTGATCTTTCTTTTTTTTTTAGTTTAGTTTAAGGTTGCCTGAATTGGCGCCCAAATGAAAAAGTAACCAATTTAGGAAGTAATACTCAGCTTATTGCTGTAGTTTGATTTTTTTTTTTGCATTTAATAATCAAGCCAGTCGTACAGCTAATAAAACCGATTTAATAATATCAGAAGCAATAAAATGCATTTGTGTGTGACTGTCGGCTGTGGGACCACCCAGGCTCGCACAGGCTTGGGTCGAAACTGCACGTTGAGGACTCGTGGAAGGCAGCGCAGTTTTGGGAATTCATTTCCACCGAGAGGAAATCGTGTCAATGCCCCTTTTCATACGTGTGAGGAAAAAGAAAAAGCCGGTGGGCTTCGGTGCACAGTCTGTTTCCTTCAGAATGCCTGCTGCCTGTTGCTGTGTGCCTGGAGGCCGCAGGTGACAGCGACGGACGGTCTGCGTGCCCACGGCAGCTCAGCGGAGGGCGGGGCTGACCGGGCCTTCCTGGGACAGCGCAGGGCACAGGTGCTCGGGCTGGAGAGCAGCGCTTCCGCGGCGAGCAAGACACCACCACACCCGAGGGCCGTGCTGTCGGCCTTTTGTCAACATACCTGTGCAGGTGCGCACACCTGGGCTGCCCAGGACGACAGCCGCAGTGTGAAGTCCTCCAGCGCCAGAAGGCGCGCGTGTTCCCAGCTCCCACGCACAGGCCTCCAGCGTCAGAAGGCGCGCGCGTTCCCAGCTCCCACGCACAGGCCTCCAGCGTCAGAAGGCGCGCGCGTTCCCAGCTCCCACGCACAGGCCCGGACACCGAGTTGCTATTGACCCTGGGATTTGGTGAACCAAAATTGGGGCAGAAAACAAGAAAACCTCTATGTATGTGACCAGAATCAGTCCAACTGGGTGCTGAATCTGTGCCATTGGTCCAGTTGCCGGCTCGACGGCTTTGGTCAGGAGGCGGCCAGCCCACGGTGCCAGAGCATCGGCACAGCACCGGTGCCTGCACCGCCGGAGCCTGGTGTCCTCACTCTGTGTGTGTCCTGGGTCAAGTTCCTGTTGCAGAGCTGTTCCTCCCAGGGACACAGGCCCCGCAGACGGACTCTTGGTGGCTCTGCAGCCAGGTGGTGGCATTTGCCGCCCGCACGTGGTGGGGCGTGGGGAGACATTGTGGACCACATACTGGGGCTTTATTTTTAGCCGTGCTTTGTGCCTCCTCGCCGCACCCCTCCCTCCCGGGCTTCAGTCATCCGGCACATTCCGCAGTGTGACTAGCAGATGGCGGGAAGGGGGTGGGGTGGCTGGGAGGCGTTTTATTCTTTCCAGTTCTGAAAGTCAGGGTTTAAGAATGAAGACACTTTCTAGATCTTGTCGTGACCTAGGGACGAGTGTCAGACCGTGTCTGAAGGCCGAGTCCCACAACAGTCATCCCCCGGGGCCAGGTGGGCAGGACGGTGCTGGGGCAGGGCGGGAGCCCGGTGTGCAATGCACGTGGCACACCCAGCCCCAGTAACCTTTCAGCAAGCCCTGCTAGGGCCAGGGCTCCGGCCACGCACACGGAAGGCCTGGGCTGCAGCCCTGGCACGGCAGACATACGGGCAATGAGCCAGCAGCTAGGCGTGCCCCCTCCCCCACCCCAGCCCGTGTCCCAGATTGAAACCAAATGCCTTTGAAGAGTCTGCCGACGCGGTTTCCTGTGTTCCTGCATCACCGCACATCTGACGCTCCCAGCCCCACAGGCCACACGGCCTTGCGCCCTGAGAGCACGCGTCCCCTCTGCGAGGTGGATGGCCGCCCCTTGCCTCCTGGACCTCAGCGCGTGCGGCCCCACGTGGCCTTTCTGTGACGCTGGCAGCCTGGGCCTGCTGGGTGCACCTCAGGAGCGAGGGAGGCAAAGGCATGAGGCCAGCAGCTCAGGGACAGGTTGGTTTTGCTGCACACTGGGGCCAGCAGGGTGTGTGCAGGGAGGTGGGAGGCATGCGGGCGTGCGGTCTGGGCACCAGCAGGGGCAGGGCTGTGGTGGCACCGTCTTCCTTGCGCTCCCGTTCTGCCGAGCTGGGAGTCCATCTGGAAGGCTCCACACACGTTTGCATTGCATCCTCCGCCCGGCACCTCCCGCTCTAACTCGCTCACCCTGGCCCGAGCCTTGGCAGTCCTGACCAATGCCGTTGATTCAGCAGTCTTGCTCAGTCTGGGGTTGATTCTCACACGCAGAGGTTTGCTCCTGTTTGCTGTCCAACTTCTGACTCAGCAAATCCCAGGGGCAATGACCACTCCGTGCTCGGGCACGTCCATGGGGCCGGGAAAGCACCGCCTCTGGCTGTTGGTGGCGTGCTGGACTCCCTGGCTTGCTCCCCAAGCCCTGGCCAGGCGTTGGGAGGGGGACATAGGGGCCCGCCCTGGGCTGCACAGTGGACAGTCACCAGCCTCTGGCAAGCCACAGATGCCATTAAGATCTGATCCGAGTTGTGCCTGCAGAAGATGCACACCGTCTCACTTGGGATGGGCACCGAGTTCTACTTAGAGTGCCACGGCAGGAAGACCCAGCGCAGCAGGGCAGCACGGGGCAGAGCAGGCGTGAAGGAGGCGGGCTGGCTCTGTAGATCAGACGTTGGAATTGTAGAAACATTTTACATAATGACCAAAAGTTAAATCAAAATGGAAGGAGAGGCTGCTGAGGTTTCAGGAGCCAAATTTCACAAATGTACCTGATTGCAGAGCAGGAGAGCAATGGAACCGGAGCCCCAGGCTGAGCACAGACCTGAGCGCGTACCCCTGGGGTAAAGCCCAGAGCGAGAAGGGGCTGGAGCGCCCCTGGTCAGAAGCGCCCTGGTCAGATCTCTAGCAATGAAAGGATTATTCTCGAACTACAGCACAGGCAGAGGCAAATGAATTATGGTCCCATGTTTGGGAATTAGACTTTCTTGTCGCAGAGTGAAGAATTGCACACAGGAAGTGTGAGACGTTGAGTAGAACTGAGCGGGAAGAGCCTGCCAGTGCCTAGGAGCTGTCGTCTCACGAAGGTCTCCTGGCCCGACACGCTGACTGATCAAAGCTGCAAGAAGCCTGGACATCAGCCTGCAACAACGGGGCAGGGGGCTTGGTCCCCTAAGGTGCAACAGACTCAGGAACACACCTACAAAGGTGTCCTCAGGCGGGGGCAGGGCAGCGACAACAGCAGAAGGTGGAGCATCTACGCCCCTTGCG